CTTGCAGTCGTCATATGTGACACTCTTGGTTAACTCATATATATGCTTACTAATCCTATACTAAAACTTATATCAGGTCGACTGTTGCACACATACCTCAGAGATCCCACAATTTGCTTGAACAAAGTTACATCGACTTTGTCTTCCTCTCCATTCTTCTCCAATTTTACATTTGGTTTGAAAGGTAAGGATGGAGGATTCAAATCATCCATTCTGAATCTCTTGAGCATTTATTTGACATACTCTCCCTGATGTAGCATCATACCTTGCTTCGACATTTAAAATTCCATACCTAAGAAATAAGACAATTTTCCCAGATCATACATTTCAAGTTCCTTCATCATTAGCTCTTTGAAATTCAACAAGTTCTCCAAGCTATTTTCAGTCACTAGCAAGTCATCGACATATAAGTAGATGATTGTTATATCTTGTGCTACAACCTGAACATAGACACCATACTCAGATTTGCATTTGACAAATCCCAATTCGACTAAGTATGAGTCGATCTTCTTGTTCCATGCTCTAGGTGCCTGCTTGAGGCCATAAAGCGCTTTGTGAAACTTATATACTTTACTCACTTCCTTCTGAATCACAAACCCTGGAGGTTGTGTGACATAGACCTCTTCGTCTAAAGGACCATTCAGAAATGATGATTTCACATCTAAATGAAATCTCAACCAACCTCGATTGCATGCCAGTGATGCCACTAGTCGAACAATCTCCAATCTTGCTACTAGAGAAAATAATTCAGAGTAGTTGAGTCCTTCTCTTTGAAGAAACCCTCGAGCTACTAATCTTGCTTTATGTATTTCTATCGAGCCATCAATATTATATTTCAACTTAAATACCCACTTTACTTCGATAGTTTTTGTATGTATTGGCAATTCGACTAACTCTCATGTGTTGTTTCTTTCAATTGCTTGTAACTCTTCGACTATAGTTAACTTCCATTATTTAGTCTTCAAAGCTTTGCTATAGTTAATTGGTCCAGCACCTGCAAGTAAAGCAAAATGAACTAATTCTCCATCTGGTGTGACTTCATCATCACCCACCACTTCATAATCATGAAGTCTTGTTGGAAGAACTCTATTTCTTTGAGATCTTTGGCTTGTTTCAGCCATAGCCTCTTTGACTTCGACTGTGTCAGGAATGTTAGCAACTGCTTCTTCTTTGACTTCCACAGCCTCTTTAACTTCGACTGTGTCGGGAATGTCAGCAATTTCTTTTTCTTCTACTTCCACACCTCTTCGACTTTGATTGTGTCAGGAATGTCAACAACTGATTCTTCTTCGACTTCATTAAAATCTGCCAACCACTCCTGTCGACCAGTCATATGGTTCGAGCAGCCTGAGTCGAGATACCAGATTTTGGATTCGACATGGTTATCTGCAACTGTAGCCATAACCACCATATCATCTTCAAAATCATCTGAATCCTGGCGAGCAAAGTTCGCTCCTTTGTCCTTATTTGTCTATCCCTTATCTTTTCTGTACCAACAATTCTTGGCTACGTGACCCCACTTTTCACAGTTATAGCACTACACTCCTTTTTTATCTTCTTTTCACTTTCGATAGTTTCCTCCTCCTCCTTTCAAGGATTCAGAAGCTCCATCTTTGACTTGATTTTTGTAAGGTTTTGACCAAGACTTCTTGGCCTGAGTCTTGTCGAACTTGCCTTTGAATTTGTTGAAATCCCCATCCTTTTTCCATGACTGAGCTTGCAGATCCTGTATCGAGTCTTGCACTCCTTTTCTTTAGACAATCCTCATCTCATGCGCCTCCAACAAACCAACCAAATCTTCCACTTTAGTGGTTTCAAGATTGTTGGATTCTTGAATAGCTATGATAGCGTGATCAAAGTGAGAGGTCAACATTCTCATTACCTTCTCAACTATCATCTTATCAATTATGGTTTCACCATAACCCTTCATGAGATGGACGAGTTTTTGAACCTTCGACACATATTCTGTAACTTTTTCATCTTCTGCCATCGAATACAACTCATATTATCGACGCAAGGTTTATAACTTGACAACCTTGACTTTCTCACCTCCTTCGTAATACTTCATCAGAATATCTCATGCCTCCTTCGTTGTTTCAGCATAAGAGATTCTGTCAAAATTAATAGTATCGACCGCCGTCTGAATGCAATAAGCATCCTTGCAATCTTTCTTCTTGATTTTGTTGTGGGCTTTTTTCTGTTCGTCGGTTGCATTTGCAGCCAACGCAGGAACGTCGTCGATAACCACTTCTAGGGTTTCATGGAAGCCAAACAAGGATTGCATATGTTTTATCCATCGGGTCCAATTCTTGCCGTCAAGCATTGGAAGAGAATTTGGAATTCCCTTATCACTAGCCATCTTCGCAGTGGTTGATTCACTTGTCCTAGAAACACGATCTCTGACATGAAATTCTTGAAAACTCGTTCAAGAACAATAACCTGAAGTTCAAATACCAATTTGTTAGTGCTTAAGGCACTTTTAGTGAGGAGAGAAAGAGAGAATAATAAAGAAAATAAAGATTTATATTATTGAATTGTACAAATAGTGATACAGACTATGACTATTTATATACAATCCTAATTGAGTTTGAGTCTACACAACTTAAATTATATTTAAATATTAAATCTAATCTAATATTTTAACAAATCTAATTTAATATTTCAACAAACATAATAGATGATACATGTGTGAAATTCATTTCTATCTTTAACAACATACTTATAAAATTTAAAAATATTTCATAGCCATCGCTTTTTGTACACTAGTTAAATATTTGATTAACTTTAAGACAAGTGAGATAAGTGACTCATATTTAAAGAAGAAATATTTGAATTCAAATGCAAATAAATATTATAAACATAAATCAAATAAAAATAGTAAAAATGTTGAATTCATAAAAAAGATAAACATATTCGATAAATACGGTGTTAATCAAACTCTTCAAGAGTTTAATTCATAGTTAAAATTATAATTAACTCAATTGTACAAAATTTATTACATTTTATATAGTAAATTAAATTAATTTTTTTCTCAAATGAATTAACTATTACTTTTTTTGTAAATAATTTATAAGTATTAAATAAGTGTACGAAAAATTGTATGAAATATAGAAATAGATTAATCACAAGACAAATTAGTGAAATGATGAAACTTGATAGTAGTAACAGTACTTATTTCCTGGGTTATACTTTAATATTTTGGGTGATGCTAAGTAAAATAAACTAGCACACACATAATGTACTAGTACTAGTATCTTGTGACTTCTCATGAACTTGTGTACCTGTAAAACCACTGTAACCTAAGGCACAAGTATTGATCACTCGTTCTTTTTAAGAGAAGGACGGTCCATATCAACGGTCCCCACCCTCCAATATTTCGGGTCCCACACCTGACACACTCAGAGGTATCACGGACGGTCCTATCACTTTGCATAGGGAACCCCTCAAGCAATGGGCCCCACATCTCATCTCATATACAATCGCATCACATCACTGTCCATTTTCTCTCTCAACTCTCATCTCACCTTTCATTTAATCTATCCCTTTGCTAAAAAAAGCACTTTTTTTCTTCACTCTAATTATGGCTTAATCATTCTTCACCTGATCAAAGAATCTAATAAAGGTAAATCACTTTTTTCTGTTACTCTTCTTTTTGTTATTTTTCTCTCTTTTTAACCTTCATTTCCAATCACTCTGCATGCCACTACTTCAATTTTTATATATATATAAAAGTTAAAAAGGAATCTATTTTCACTATATCTAGTAGTCTAGTACTAGTAATAGTACTATAATTGTTCTCGAGATTTTAGTAAGTAGTATTAAATTGAATTTTTTATTCTAATATCCATCTTTCCCAACATAAAACTTCAAAATAATTGAAAACCTAAAAAAAAAAGTTCAAAATAATTATTTTTTTTCATATATAATATCCAACTTTTGAACAAACAAGATCAATTATAGGACGTGTCAATTAAATCAACATCTCTAATTTTTTTTAATTTTTTGGCAGATTTCACGTGTTTTGCCTAGTATTTTGCAAAAATGAAACATAATTTTGGTAGAAAATTCCTTCAGAAAAATTCTTTCACAAAAGTTACAGTGCAATCACAACACAGCCATTTTTTGAAACCTTGATTGAAACGAAGAATTTATATTAAATTTTATTCTATTTATATTTTCTTTGAAAAGGTATAGTAGTACTATAGCCTTTTGAAGAAGAAAAAATAAATCAGCTTTTTAAGCGAAATTAATAATTGGAGTTTGTGCTGAAATAATATTGTTATTATTATTCTACAAAGACATAACACCTTCAAATATCAAGCAAAACAAAAAGGAAAAACAAAGGCACAAACACAAGACACACTATTCCACAACATTGTGCGTGTGACTTGTGTCTGTTTTTGTATGTCGTGTATGACTAAGAGAGAGAGGGAGAGAGAATGTGTGAAATGTGTTTGTGGTGGTCCATCTAAGTATATGGCTCACTTTCTTTGAAGATAGAAAAAATAATAAGATGAGAAAGAGAAAGAGACTACTCTAGATACCAATACAACAAGAGAGAGAAAGAGAGAGAGAACCAAGAGAGAGAGAGAGAATAGTAGTGTTATATAGATATATAGCTATGCTTTTGGTTTTATCTTGAGAGAAATGAAAATCATCAAAGAAACAAGAAAGTAGGTATCACACAAGTTGGAACTTGTTTAGATTACTATATAGTTTTCTTTTTCAAGCTTTAAATATTTTTGGTTTCATTCAAGTTTCGTTTATGGCTTTTTCTTGTCTTTTGGCAGAACGATACACTCTCTTTAAAGAATTTGGGTACCATCCAAAAGAATTTATGTTCACTTTCTTGGCTTTTGCTACTCCTAAACCATTGTTTTCTTCCTTGTACTGACTGAAACTACTAAAAACCTTTCAAACTTTGTGCTTTTGCTCTTCCTTGCTACCTTCCACCACAACCCATTACTATATAGCCTATTTTCACTTCTTTTTTTTCCAATATGCAAATGATTCCCAATGACCCTTTTTCACTTTCCACTTCACTTGCTGCCTTTACTCAAGAACAAAACACAAACCCTAACCCTAAACCTAATACTCCTCCTGTCCCCAAGAAGAAGCGAAATCTCCCCGGAACACCAGGTATAATATAGTTTCTACTTTCTGCATGCTTGGATCCTCTTCACCAGTGTTGCATACTATTTTATCTGAGGATCCAACTGCTTACATATTTTATCTGCTATACTTTTCGAATTGGTTATTCATATTATTTTCACTAAATAGATCCAGATGCCGAGGTTATTGCTCTTTCGCCGAAGACACTCATGGCGACAAACAGATTCATCTGTGAAATATGCAACAAAGGTTTCCAAAGAGATCAAAATCTTCAACTTCACAGAAGAGGTCACAACCTTCCATGGAAGCTTAGACAGAGATCAAACAAAGATGTTATCAAGAAGAAAGTTTACATCTGTCCAGAGAAGAGTTGTGTGCACCATGACCCTTCTAGAGCTCTTGGAGACCTCACTGGTATAAAAAAGCACTTTAGTAGAAAGCACGGTGAGAAGAAGTGGAAATGTGAAAAATGTTCCAAGAAATATGCAGTCCAATCTGATTGGAAAGCTCACACGAAAACATGTGGTACAAGAGAATACAAATGTGACTGTGGCACCCTCTTCTCAAGGTATAATAATAAATACTCTCTTTTTATTCACCAATCTTTTGTTTCTGTGTTAAATCAATAAATGCTTCTTTAATTTATTCATATTCGTATTTGTAACATGTACGAGGTTTTCCAATCATGTATATACTCAGTGTTAGGTTTTGAATTTAATGCTTTCTTTAATGGATTATTTCCTCGTGTATGTGCTTAAGTTTGAACTCTTGGGATGTATAAAGCATGCATTTAAAATTTCAACCACATTTTTTTCTGGTATGGAATAATTTATGTGTCTCGATTTGTGCATGTAATCCTTGCGCAAGTGTCATGCTAATCTTCTCTGTATCGTTCCACAGGAAGGATAGTTTCATAACACATAGAGCTTTCTGTGATGCATTGGCAGAAGAGAGTGCAAGGATAACTTCAGTTACGACAACGAATCTAAATTTCAAGAATGAAGAAGGTGGTGGTTCAATGATGGGTTCACATTCACATTCACAACATGGTTTAAACCATGGAAATGGAATGCTTCAAAATATAGGAGGAATTCCACATCCACAATTTGGTTCACAAGGATTTCATGTAGATTTCAATGGAATTGGAATCAACAACAACCACAATAGTTCTTTGATTATGGAGCAACAACAAAGGCCAAGTTTATCACTTTGGTTAAACCAAGGGAACCCACATAATCAGATAACTGAAATGGGACAAAGTTCAGGACTTTTTGGTTCATCAGGTTTATCTGAGATAGTTCAAATGGGAAATGCTGATATGAATAATAATACCTTGATTGGTTCTTCATCATCAATGTTGTCTAGTTATGGTGTACCTGCTTCAAATTCAACACCTGCAAATCTTTCATTATCTTCACTTCCAATAGGGAAAAGAGGAGAAAGTTCAACAAGTTCTGTTTATAATTCAGATGGTCAAAATAAGCAATTATCAAAGGCTGTTTCTGCTACACCAATGTCAGCTACTGCTCTTCTGCTAAAAGCAGCTCAAATAGGTTCAACTAGAAGCACTTCTAATAATAATATGAACAACAATGGTTCTATTTTTAGTGCTAGTTTTGGTGTAATGACATCACCTTCTTCTTCAAATAGTAGTTTTGATCAGTTTTTGATGCATGGACAAGAAAGTGAACAAGGGAAAATGAATCTCTTGCATCATGGTGGTTCAAATTCTATGGATCAAGTTCAACATAGTAATTTGACAAGAGATTTTCTTGGTGTGAGTGGAACAAGTGGTCCTCCTCAGTTTCTACCTCAAGAGCTAGCAAAATTTGCTTCTTCCATTCAATTCACAGGAAACCAGTAAAAATCTGAGGAAGGTTGTTTTGGGAAATTCATCAAATTTTTAGTGTAGTACTGTAGTACTTCTTGTGAGGAGTGTGTGTGGGGACAGAGGGGTCCACACTGCATGTATTTGAAAAATAGTGAAAAACACAAGTCATGCATGTTGTCCTAAATAAATGGTTAATGTTGTTTTATTTTCTGTCTTAACCTTGTTATCGTTTTTACTTTGGCTTCATTTTCTTGAGACAAGTGAAGGGATCGATTAGGTTTAAAATAATGTATAACAAGTGGAGATACACCCGGAATTCTTGTGCATGGGACATCTCTATGTAGCTATTTTACAATTTGTCACACCTCTTTGTAGCTATCAAATCCATGCTTGAATTCTCTAGCTATTTTACAATTGTGTCACACCTCTCTGTGTTAGTTACTGATAGGCCTCGTGAAGATGTTGGGCCTAATAATATACTGGTGCACAAAATAGTGTGAAGCCGTCTTGGATTATAAACTTGTTTTGATTCATTGGATTCATTTTAATTCAGTGGTATACTCCAAAGAAAATTTTAGAGAGATATAAAAGTAGGTTTGGGAAGTCATAATAAAAATATATATAGTAGAGAGAAGTGTGTAGAAATTTCTCACATGAAATATCTAGAATAATTTATTAATGTATGTGAAACTCTTCATTGATCCCTATAAATAGGGAAGAACTTATCATTTGTAAGCTAAACTAGTAAAAGGTAATAAACCAAGCAAATATAAGAAAGTAAACAAACTTGTAAAACATCCTCTCAATAGAAATTATCATTCTCTCGAATAGTTTCTACTTTCAATTCCTCACAAATCTCAATATAGTCTTTTCTCTTTTTTGATAAAATGACATCAGAGCTTAGGCCTCTATGATCATGGCAAACAATGGAGCAACATCCTTCCAAGCTCAACTTCTAAAATGAAGTACTTATAATAATTGGTGTATCGATATGAAGGTTTTTCTTAGAGCACACGATATTTGGGAGGTTGCTGAAAAAGGTTATAAGGAATCACAAGATGAGAATTCCTTAACTTAAACACAAAAATATGTTTTGAAGGATTCAAAAAAGAGAGACAACAAAGCTATTTTTCTCATCTACCAGGCATTCAATGAAGATGAATTTGAAAAAATATCTAATGCAATGTCTGCTAAGGAGGCGTGGAAGAAGTTTCAAACATTTTGCAAAGGTGAAGACAAAGTAAAAAGGGTACATCTCAAAGTTTTAATAGGCGAGTTTGAAACCTTGCATATGAAAGATTCAAAGACTATTTCTGAATATTTTTAAGAGTTGTCACTATTTCAAATCAATTCAAAAGAAATGGTGAAAAGTTAGAAGATGGGAGAATTATGGAGAAGATACTTTATTTATTAGGCCCCATATATGAGTGTAGTGTTGTGACAATCAAGGAAACAAAAGGTTTAACGACTATGACAATGTAGCAACTTCGAGCATCATTACTAGCTTATGAAGAGAAACAAAATAAGAAGAAAGAGATCACGAAAAAAATATTCAATATGCAAACTAAAAGAGAATGAAGAAACTCATAGAAATGAGAGATGCCAATGTAGTCGGAATAAAGGTCAAGGACGAGGTGTGGCTGAGGATGTTTTGGATGTGGTAACAAAGGACAAGTTTCAAATTTCACTATTGATAGTTATGAGAGAGGAGAAAACTTGATAAGAGGATATGGAAGAGGATACATAAACACTAGTATGTTAGTAACGAGGAAGGAAAAAATGAAAAGTTTGAAACAATGTTACTAACATGTGGATATAATGAAGGAAGCTAAGAGAATTCATGGTACCTTGCATGTTTGCAGTGTGGAATCATATTTTGCAGGTTTAGTGATCAAGGAAGTTCTGGACAACATACTCTTGAATATGCTTTTGATGATAGAAACTAATAACTAAAGTGAAAGCATAACAAGTGACCAAAGTTGTAATTAAACTAAGATATTAAACTAGGGTTTAATGATTAATACAAAAGTCCCCCATGATGGCACCTGCAACACCTAGATTTTCTTATTAGATATTAATTTATATTTTATTGGTTTAATTATATCTTTTTGATGATTTATCCTATTATTGTATGTTGGTGGGGTATGTATCCTTAAATTAGGAGTATAGAGAGATGATAAAAGTGAATAGAATAATTTAGAGTTGTTCTAATAATTAAAAATAATATTTTATTTATTTTTATTATATTGAATAGTGAAAATAGAAAAATGGAATTATTTAGAAACTATTTCTATTAAGTAAAAATAATATTTTTGTTATATTATTTAATAAAAATAAGAAGAAAAAAATAAAGCAATTGGGCCAAGGTAAGAGTTAAGGAGAGTTAGTGGGAGGAAGGAGTAAGAAAATAATTAAGTTGAGCCAAGTTTAAAATTTTAGGAAGAATTAACCAAAGTATAAAGTTAGGAAATAAACTTAGAATTAGGTGATTTGACATTACGTAGAATTGGAGAGCAAAATACGCAAGAGGCAAGATGATCAAGGGAAGAGAGTGAAGGTTTCAATTCATAATTTTTGCAAGGAATTCAGATAAGAGTGAGAATTTGGTTCAATAATAGGATTATGATAAATGGTAGAGTGAAGGGAGAAGGTAAAGTTATTTACTCATATGCTAGAAGAAGAAGCTGAAGACTGGTGGAATAGTGCATGTCAGAGGATGAAGATTGTGGGTACAGAGATCACTTGGGTTGTGTTCAGAGCTGCCTTTCTAGAAAAGTACTTTCCTGAGGATGTCCGTGGTAAGAAAGATAATGAATTCCTTGAGCTGAAATAAGGGGATTCGACTGTGATTGAGTATGCTTTCAAGTTTGAGGGATTAGTAAAGTTTTGTCTGTATTATAATAATCCGGAAGCTGAAGTACCTAAGTGCATCAAGTTTGAAAATTAATTGTGTCAGAAAATTAAGTAGAGTATTTGGTATCAGAAGATTTGCCAATTCTCTGTGCTAGTGAACAAGTGCATAATTTTTGATGAAGATAGTAGAGCCGAATCTTCTTATTATAAGAATATTAGTGATAAGAAAGGGAAGAACCATGATCGTCGGAAACTATATAGTGCTCCAGTTGACAAAGGGAAGCAGAAGGCTTCAGATGGGAAGAAGATAAATAAGGGAGGAGCTCCAGCTTCTGTCAAGTTCTTTAAGTGTGGCGAATATGCCCACTGTGCTAATGATTGCAACAATAAAGTTATGAGGTAGTTCAAATGTGGGAAGACAGGTCACCGTGTTTTTGAGTGCAAGAACGACGATCCAACTTGTTTCAACCATGGTGAACGGGGTCATATCAGTACACAGTGTCAGAATCCAAAGACGATAGCTACAACTGCCCATACTAATGGTAATGTGTTTGTCTTGAGTGGTTCATAAGACACCAAGAAGAATAACTTGATCTAGGGTACTTCTTTCATTAACAATGTTTAGTTGATTTCTATTATCGATACTGGTGATACTCATTGATTTATTTCACTTGAATGTTGTAGAGGTATAAATGTTTAAGACTAAGCCATTAGATTGACTAGACTTATACAAATCAAAATAAAAATCGCCACCGCGCTTTATTGTTTCCAAGGGAATGGAAAAAGAGCGAGTAACCCAAAAAGAGGGGGGGAGGGGGAAAGATTCTAGATAAGTGGGTTGGTTATGAAAATGGAAGGTATTAACACCTTAAACATCTACGGTACTCCACAGGAACCTCTTTGAAAAATCTGTACATTTTGGCTATAAAATGTTGTATGAAAAATAGATGGTGGAGGTGAGAAAATAAGTATATTTTATGATTTTTGCACTCGCCGCGGTTGCGAACCTTTAGTGCCTATGTACCACCTTTCGTGCAATAGGGGATCAGAGTACACGTAGTTCCTCTTTAAAAAATTAAAACATAAGTTTGTTGGTTAATTTTATGAGATAAGACATCATCGTCATTGTCAGTGTGGAAAACATACTTACTATCCCTAATCATGAGAAAGGAGAATTTACATCATCTCAAAGTGGAGGATATGGCTTGGATTTTAAAATCAACAATGCCTCACTCAACATCCAAGTGGGAAATATCTCTCTTCACTACATATTGTAGAATTATAGTTGTTTGCATCACTACAAGGATTGACAAGAGTTTAATCTTTTGAGAAAGGTTTTTAAAAAAATAAAAAGTCAAAGTGGCAAAATGGTTTGAAATGAAATTGATTGACTTTTAGTCTTCTCACAAAAAATGTCAAGGCATTATTAAGTTGATTGAAATTTGTTTATGAAAAATGTTTTGAAAATGCATGGACCTAAGTTCAAGTTTATTATGAAAGTGGTTCAATTTTCAAAACAAGAAGAGTTTTTAAAAGGAGGAAGAAGATTTTTGAAATTAAAGAAGATGGGAGGAGAAGAAGAGATTATCCTAAAGCATAAGGTAAAAGCTAGAGATAAGAACCATATAACCAACAAGAAGCCAATACTTGACATTATGAGTCAAGATAGAATTCCCATTCTTTGGATTGAAACCAAACAAGCAAAGATACTAGACCTCTTGAGAGAACCAAACTTCAAGTGTATTAATTCTTCACAAAAATTAGGCAGAGTAACGGTTGTATACGGGTGAATTCCAGATTACAAACAAAGAATGTAATCACAATAACCTGCATACAAAATAAACAAACAACCCAATGTCCTGAGGTAAACCTCAATAACTCCAGAAAAAAAACCAATTAAGGTCACAAGGTCTCCAACTTAGGTTCAGGGTTTCTAATCCTAAGTCCAAGAAGTCCAATACTCCACAATACCAAGGATAGTAACCAAATAGTCCAAGTATCATTGAAGCCTTTTTAGCGTTCATGTTGATTATTAGGTGTCTTGAAAAAGAAAAGAAAATCTCAAGTGAGAAAAATAAAAATAACAAGAATATAAATGCTCAAGTGAGCAAAATAAAAATGACATGAAATGTAATGCTTAAAGTAAATGGTACATAAAGCATAAAAATAAAAGCATAAAG